CAAGCCATAACGAAGCTCGCCTAAGTCATAATGAAGTTCGCTCTCAAGACCAAGTCAAAGTGAAGCTTCTAGTGAGGTTCCCCCAAAATGAGCTTTGCCCAAATAGTACATATAGGACACATAGCGAAGTTCGCCAAAGCCGTAGCAAAGATCGCCGAAGCTGAAGCTGCAGCGAATCTCGCCAAAGCTGTAGCAAAGCTTGCGTAAGCAGTAGCGAGTTTTGCCCAATAGGCCACGTAGGCCATATAACCTATTTTGGCGAAGTTCGCTCATGGTCATTATTAGTGAACTTCGCTGATGGTCATTATTGGTGAACCTCACTCATGGTTGTTATTGGCGAACCTCGCCCGTAACCATATTCAGAAGCTAATTTCAAGGAAATGGTTTGTTCCACTAATTTACCTATTTAAGAGGAGTTAATGACCACTAACTCACCTATCTAAGGAGAGTTAAGGCCCACTAACTCATCCACTTAATGCTCCAAAGCTTATAAATAGACATGATCAACATGAAAGAGGGGGCGGAGGAAAAGGTCTTGGGACTATCATTATCTTTCACTAGACTCTTTGCTATTGAGAAGAGAGAGAGAGAGAGAGAGAGAGAGAGAGAGAGAGAGAGAGAGAGAGAGAGAGAGAGAGAGAGCTAGGCTTTTTAGAGAGAGAGAGAGAGAGAGAGAGAGAGAGAGAGATTCAGAGGCTACATGACAAAAAGTCCATCTCTCCTCCATTCTCATTGATCTTCATAGATCATTATCAACAGCTAATTATTTAGTCTGATCAATGATCCTTATGAGAAAGGATTCATTCTCTTCAACTAGTCATTTAGCTTAATTAACAGTTCTTTTGGGGAAAAATATGTTAATACTCTTCATTCAGAGAAAACTATGATATCTTCCTAGATATTAAAGATTATCAATTAGCGAAAGATCCATTGTCTTAGACGGCCCGTCAATAGAGTACAAGATCGACGCTTCATCGGCACATAGAAAAGAACTCTAGGAGATATAATTTTTTATCTTTCAATTATAGTCTCCTTTAAGTTGTAATCTGAGCTAATTGCAATTCAAAAGTCCTGAAATAAAGAGCAATGATTTTTTTGCAAAAAGTACTCACCTACTCATTCATCTCGCTCTACTCAAATGTAAGGGCTCACATTGTGCTACATCACTACCAAGTAAAATGGATATGATTGGTACCAGACACAAAATTGGTGTTTGATAGTGAGTTAGCAAATTTTTATCCACTTATATTTAAAGGAGAAGACCACATTCACATGGGTGCACATGAGTTAAATAATTTAATGAATGGATGAGAAGCGACTACCTCACTACTATGTGTATAATTCTTTATATACTCGTACTCTCTCCCATATTCTCTCCCATATCTTAATCATTTTACATATGAACCATTAAGAAAAATAAAATTGCAAAAGAAGAAAACAAATAAAATATTTTATAAATCTAATATAAATTAGAGGGTGTAAAGATTATAATAAATAACTATGTTTTACTAGAAATTCCAAGAAAAAGCTTGACTTTTAATAGTAAATTGCTTATAAATAACTTTTCTCACTAGCTCTTCTTGTTTAAATAGTATAAATAAATATTTTTCATGTAGACAAAATTTGCAACACCACGTTGAGTATTAAAGAATTAGAATTGTAAGTTTAGAAATATATTCAGGTAAAACACTGTAAGAAAAATTGCTAATTTTTTGTTTAAATTAAAAGGCATGTTATTCTTTTCTCTCTCGAAAAAAAAAAGAGATTACCCACAACATGTTTAGATAATGTTATTAAATGTTTTTAAAAATCATATGAATAATGAAAATACTAAGTGTATATTTTCAATTTATTTTGCTTAAAAATTTCTACCTAAAAGGTAAGTTTGATAGGACGTAGAATTGAAACTGAAGATACAAAAAGTACCAAGTGGAAAAGAAGTATTTTTCTTCTCGTGATCAAATAAATTAATAAAAGCTATAGAGAACATAGAAAGATCTTTCTTCCCATCAATAAAATCACAGCATAAAAAATTGAAGAGAATAAAAGATGAAAAAATAATTTCCAGTTATCAAAATATAGCTTATAATTGTATTTATTATTTCTTTTTTCTATAAAAAATTTAAATAATAAGGTTCAATAACCCACAAGTGCTTTTGCATGTGCAAACCCAATAGTTTATATTAATTTCTACAAATTTATTCATTAATTTGAATATGTATGTCATTCAATAAGTTTATCTTTTTTTTATTTTAATTTTCTTGTCTTTCCTGAACTTATTGATCTTATACTTTAGTCAATCTACTTCTCTATGAAGTTGTTCACCTTAACAAAGAATTTATTTACATTTTAAAAAAAAATTGTCTACCTATTTAAAACAGAAAAATTTAAAATTTTAAAACATATAGATACACAGACTTTTAGGATTAACCCGTATAACTTCACTATAGTTCATGATATCATAATGTCATTAATTCTTTGGAAAAAAAAACAATATTTGTCTTCAGTTACATGCAATATGCAAGGTGAAACCATGAATAAGTGTGTTAAAAGAAGTTCAATTATAATCTTTTTTTTTTAAAATTCGACTTAGCTAAATACACAGAATGATGATGCCCGAGCTATCGTGTAACATATTTGTCCTAGCCAAAATAATGTAACATAATAAGGCATACCCAAGTGACAAATGTCAATGAAGTTAACTTAAAATGTAAAATTAATATCTAATTGCATATTTTTTAGATATCAGGGGGCATTTGTTTTCATTTATTTCTTAGAAATTCACGCATAATAAGGGCACTTACTTAGTTTCTTTTTTGTTAAACTTAAATTCAATCTCACTTTTCTCTATTTAATTTGATGGAAGGTGAGACAGAAAAAGACGATGAAAATAAGGCGAGAATAGATAAAAGGAAAAGAGTTTAATATAAGATTATTTGTGGATGCTGCCATTTGCTTTAAGTTTTATTTTCCTATAAAAATCAGATCAAAGTTAAGAATTTGAAAAAAAAAATTAAAATATGTTAGATCTATGCCTATATTAGATTTCCAGAATGCTCTTGGACCAAACTGTTAAAAGTGGAAGCGTTAGATAGTTTTCTTTGAGATATTAAATGGTTACATGGGCTAGTAGTAGCCCATAATTCAAGCCCATAAGTTGGCCCTTGAGGGCCATTCATAACGTCTCCTGAAAAGTCACATCTTTCAGTTCAGATTAGATCGCGCGGGAAACCCATCGAATGTTCCCGCCAAAATCACCCCCCTAAATCAACTCTTTCATTATAAACCCCAAAAAACCTAAATTTACGGAAGTAAGAAAATGAATACAGATCAACTCAATCACCGCTTCAGCTTCATCGCTCTCGAAGCTGGCGAAATCTCCCCATCGCAGGAAGCCCTAGCCCCAAACGCCCCTTTCCTCGCCCGCCGACGAGTCCATCCTCATCCTCTCTCTCACCGAGGACGAAAACCAGGAAGAAATCGAAATAAAAAAGTCCCCAGTGAAAGGACCCGAAGAGGAAAAGGATCCCGTGAAGGAACTGCCCCCAACAGTCACCAAGAAATCCGGAGAGAAGAGAAGATCAAGAGGCGTCAAGCTCGGATCATCGGATTCCGATGAAGGAACAGCTCCTCCCACAACTCGAAGGCTGCCGGCGACACTGCAAGAACCAAAAGCGGTGGACAAGGAGAAGGATCTTTCGGTAGAAATCCCGGCTGCGCAAAACCCTAGAAAGGAGAAGGAGAAAGGTGCAAGCGGAAAGACTCAATCTTGCTGCGATAATCCCCCCGAGGTGGTGATCAAGAACCCGATAAGTGCGGAGAAATCATCTGATGCCAGCGGATCAACTGAAACTCCGAAGACTAACCCACCGCTGGATTTTAATAATTACATGGATGTACTAGCCGCTGTCTTTGGAGAGCCTGATATGAGCTTAGAGAACGTCGATATACTGGAGATTGCTGCAATGAGAGGGATTCACATTGAGCCTCCAAGATGGCACAGGCCTGGTGGTTATGGGCCCAAGGTTATCATTTTTCCAATGCATTGAGCTGGATTCAATGATTCCTATCTAGTTTTCGTACTGATTAATTCTACTTTTTCCCCTGTTTTCAGCCGAAAGACTCAAAGAAATGAAGGGGACGGTGGATGACTTTTGGGGTCAGAACGTTGGTATTCTGACATTTTGCTCATCAAGAGGCTTGCATTTCTTACATGCTAGATTTTGCGGCGCCAGGTGTTTGAAGAAATGCTTTACTCTTGGTTTGTTTAATATACTACTATATTAGTACTTTTGGGCAAGCTATAGAACGCTAACTCTGTTACTGTAATGCGTAGGAAGACACGTTATATGCTTATATGGTTTATGTTGATAATTAGGAAGTGCCGTACTTATATATGCCGCTTTGGGCTGCTTTGCTTGTCTTGTTTAGCTTTTAAGATATATATAAAACCAGTTTGTTGCATATTTTGTTGGATGGACCTGTGTTAGTTTCGTACAAAATATTTGGTTTTAATTGCCAGAACAATAGTTTTCTCTGGTGGTATGTTGTGTTGGTGGCTGTGTTGAATGTTGCTTTAATAGCTGGGATCGTGTAAGTTTTCTTGTTGACTGACTAGTTGTCAATCTGATGAGCATGCAACAACCTTTGAGGATTGTCTGGAGAAACAGTTAACAAAATTAGTCTAATCTATTATTATACAGTACGCATAACCAGGATCCCTCCATAAGACGAGGGAAGTAACATAATGTAGGGTGTTGGATCATAGTTTAGGCAGCCCAATGAGTATTTTAAATATAAAAAAAAAATCTTGAGCCTCATCCTGTGCAATATATATTCTTATCATATATCATATAGTTCATAAATGTTGGAACTTGCATGATCTAGAGGCAAAAAATTATTCTATGATTTGTCTGAGACTCTGAAATTCTATCTTTTATCTCCTTCGATACCAAGTCGTTTCAATATGCAGACCAGAGAAGTGAATATTAAATCTCCTCATTTCATATGAATACATGTTGTTTTCTGCGTCATGTCTCTATAGTTTGTCATTCTTTAATCCCGCTTAATACATAAAATCATCTAAACATGATTGTTTTATTTTATCCTTAGTTGTCGGGCCTGTTTGGATTTGTAGGGGGTGAAGGGAAGTTAAGAGAAACTGAGTGAAGGGAATGGAAGGGAAGGGAAGGGAATTCTCTTCCCCTTGGTTACACCGCAATTTGGGGGTAATAATTTTTATACTATTAGGAGGTGAACCAAGGGGAACTAGGGTGAATTAACTTTACTTCCTATGTGTTCCCAAACAAGGTGAATGGAGGTGAATGGTTCCCCTAACTTCCCTTCCCCTTGGTTACACCCCAATTTGGGGGTAATAATTTTTATACTATTAGGGGGTGAACCAAGGGGAACTAGGGTGAATTAACTTTACTTCCTAAATAAGGTGAATGGAGGTGAATGGTTCCCCTAACTTCCCTTCACCCTCATTCCCCTCAATCCAAACAAGCCCTAAGTGTTTATTACTTTTCATTGCGTCTAAGAGAATGAATAAAGAAAATAAGGTTATATTAATATTAGTCCCTCAAACCTTGCATATTTTGAGATTAATATTTTACAACTTTTTAAAAGGGAAAATAGAGACTGATATATTAGGGTGGTCAAGTGAACTGAGGTTGATAGAAAATAAAGAAAAACACTGTTAATCTGAGGATGATAGAAAGTGAGGGGGATTAAGAAAAATAATGTTTATTTCTTATTTATTGATCAATTTAAAAGGAAAATTTAGGGTGCTCAAGGGAAAAAGTAAACAAAGCTAAGAGGCCATATATGTGCTTCTCCTTGCTCAAGTGCAGCAGTTTGTTGATGGATGAATCATGGTAGGATAACTGATTGTTAGGATTAGTACTTAATATTCCTGACGAGTTATGAAAACTATTGTGTTATAAGTGATACAAGATATTCATAAAATCAAATTTCATATCATTTACCCCAGGTCTCCATAACATCTGAAAGACTAATAAATGCCAACCATCATGCATATTTCTGCTGATAAATTATCAAAATTAGTATTTTGTGTCATATGGGTGCATATCTTCTTTCATAATTGAACTTTTGTTATAACAATGAAGGCTCATACAACTAGTGTGGAGAACCTAGGCCATGTCACCGTTGGTTTCCATTAAGGGGCTGTTTGTTTGCTAAAAAAAAATGAGAAAAACCCCCCGCCACATCAGATTTCAAGAAATCCCCCCTGCCACGTAGGATTTTGGTTTCAACCAATTTCTAAATCACATTTTGTTTCGTTTTGTGATTTCAAGAAATGAGGGTGTCATGTAGGATGTCAAGTCAGATTTTTTAGAAAAGTGTTTTCACACCAAAAACCTTTGAAATGTCACTTTAATAAAATTTTAATTACTAAAAGCATTGTTGAAATAGTAACCGTGAATAAAACAGATTATTTAATTGCTAAAAACACTGTTACTATTGTAGCTGATTTTCATTTCCTTTTTTTATGTTCAAACAAACACAAGAAATGGAAATTGAAACACTGTTACTATTGCGTTTGGATTTGTTTTTTACGTGACGTGACAGTGACATGATGATGATTTCATTGCAAAACAAAAAAATTGCGAGAAATGTCTTGAAATCTCTTAAAATGAGTTGAAATGTGAGTTTTTCATTTTCGATTTTTTTCGGAAAACAACCAAACAGCCCCTAAGGGGTTCTTTGGTTTTTGGGTAAAAAGCTTGAAAAGTTTGTTAAAATGACTCATCTAACTAGGACTCAGCTGCAGAAGTTCCAAGCAAAATCAGTGGCTGCCACATTAGTTTTGGGGATCCCACAACTCAATGGTGTAAAGCAAGAAAAGTTACTGTTGCTTGACAGGTACATTAATATTCCCTGTTTTTTCTCTAGAAAAATGCAACCAAACAGCCTTTTACTGTTCATGGAAATCATTTAACATCACAATAGAAACATCATACTACAAACATTTATAATACTACAAACATTTATAATACTACTCTAAACATTTATAGTAACCTAGAATATATATGGCTTGAATTCTTTGGTGTGATTGGTACTAGAAAATAATATGTTGTGCATATGCTTGTAAACCAATTTATTTCTTACAAAATAAGGGTTTGTTCAGTTGCTTGTTTTTTGTAGAAGAAAAGACGGAAAGTTACTGTAGCTGTCAGATTATAGTAACTTTTAGGGGGTGTTTGTTTCAAGTTTTTTTTGGGATTACAAATTCTAAGATGTGAAAATGGGTATTTTTGAGTTATGGGATTCCAAAAACGTTGTTTGTTTAAAAAAAAAATTATGGGATATGAAATTCTAAAACCCCCTATATCTGATAAATTTTGGCATCCTCTAAATCCTAACTTTGAGCTGGGATTTTGGTGGATGTCTGACAAAACTCAGTCCACCTCAATAGCCCACTCCCATGATCCCTAAAACCGACTGATACCATTACCCCCTAGCCCATTTTCATCTCCCTCCTCTTTTACCCGCCGTTTCATTCTCCACGCGAAAACCCTAGGTTGATGGCTTGTGCTTTAAACTTGGTTGCTTGTAAATTTTGTTGTTGGAGGTCTGTGATTTTGTTGCTGGTGGTCTGGGTTGTTGGGTTTGTTGCTTTTCATTTGGCTACATTACCTCTTTATTCTATGAGCCTTGTTATGCTTGCTTGTGGTTGCTGGTGACTTTATTCGCCATCACCGCTGAGCGCAGAAGGAGCACATTAAGCCCTCCTCTCATTCTATTCTTTAGATTTCTTTTATGTTCATAAGTGAAATTGATCGGTTCCCCTTCCGGGTATTGAAGATCTGACTGTTTTCTGGTAAAAAGTTTGGATTTTGGATGTGCGCAATTGCAAATTGAAGAAGGCTAGTTTGTGATTTTGTGTTTTGAGGGTTGGATGGAGCTTTGGTCGTTGAAATGTTGAATAGATGAAATGTTTATGCTGTAATCATGCTGTTTGTTGTTGGGTTTTTTGTTGGGTAATTTATTGTGGAAAAATAGGAATTTTTTTGGGGGATAATGAGGTTATTAGGGTTTTCCACTTGATAGGTCTTTGATTATGTAGTTAGAGGTTAATTATGTGCTTAAAGCTTTTGTCTTTGATGCAATTAGGAATATTGGAGTATAAATTGGAAGGCTTAAATAAAAACTTGAGAGGCTTGAGTAAAAATTGTATTTGTTTTTTTTTTGTAGGGGGTAAGCTCACCAAAGATCTTATATTCACCATTTATTATTTTGGTAATCCTAAAACTTGTTTGTTACAAGTATGGATTTCAAATTCCAAAATTTGTAATGCTACAATTTGAGTTTGAAACAAACAAAACATTATAAGTTTTGGTATTACATATCCTAAAATTTTGGTGAAACAAACAACATTTTAGAGATCCCAAAACCCACCAAAAAATTTATGGATTTCGAATTCTATGTTGAAATTCATATCCATAAATTTTGGGATTTGAAACAAACACCCCCTTGTCGCTTTACACTATTTTGTTGACAATTGTCATCGGTGAGGTGGCATCCCAAAAGCTGATGTGGCACCCTTTGACAATTCCCTCCACTTTGAATTGATTTTGTTTGGAATTAATGTAGCTGTCTGTCCTGGTTGGATCTGCTAGTTGGATCTGCCAATCCAATTACGGTAACTTTCCAAGCATTTTACCCAAAAACAGCCAAACAGCCCCTAAGTTTGGCAATATATATGTATCTTCGTTAATTTCTAATATGCTTAGTGATAATTTTCAAGCATAACTAATTTCTATTTCACCTCCCACATTCTGCATTTACAACCCTTCCCTTCTATTTTCCTTGTAACATTTCAGAAATTGCATAGATTCAAATCTCCCCTTACAGTGTTCCTAAACAATTGTAAATTCCGAAGTGATGGAATTTGATTACCATGTACCCAATTTGGATATCTTTTCTTCCCCTATATCTTAAAAAAGGACAGCGAGCATATGTACAATAATACAAATAAATGACTTGTAATACTTATCAAGAGATTCTAAAACATTGCCAACTCCTACCAACGGGCTAATATTATGACATGCCAGTCTCATACAATATATTGGAAACAAACACTTAATATATTGATTCTTCGATTTGCCAATCATTTCGTAGATCTAAACCTGACTGGGAAATCCAACTAACTTTTACTTCCACAGTCCTTGCTGGCTTTTGACACCCATAGCTAAGTTAGCTATCAGTATATCAGCACCAAGATTCCTTTGCCCACAATCCCATAAATTCCTGCTTATGGATCTAGGAAGCACTTTGCATGTCTCAACTGCCTAAGCTGTTACTCCAATCTTTCCTCTTATCATGAATTCCGTTTGAAGAAATATGGAGTATGTTATCGTTGTATCTTCTTCGACCTGATTTTGACGATAAAAGTTATCTTTAAGCAAATGATTTGGTACTAAAAATTTGCATCAGTACCAGCTGGGGCTTCT